TCCTGACTCTGCAGTCAGGAATTACTCCTGGTGGTGCTCGGGGGCCCATATGGGATGCTGGTGATCGAACCCAGGTTGGCCGCATGCAAGGCAAATGCCTTACCTGCTGTGCTATCACTCCAGCCCCTATTGAAAGTAATTTTAAACAATGCTTCATAATAGGTTTAAAGACTTATAATGCTATAAATTAAAAATATCAATTAGTATATATATATATATACACATATCTGTACATTGCAATTTTAAAAGATCCATAAAAATCTTTATAGAAGAACACTAGTTGCAGAGTCTTTGCTTGGCTCCAGGAATGGAAGCAAGGTCACTAGTGACTCGGCCACAGTTAGTGACGCCTACATGTTTCATTTTTATGGAAATGTGAAAGACTCCAGGAATCTTAAAAAGAGATGACTTCAGGGCCTGGGGTTCTTAATCTCTAGAGACAGAGGGTTGACAGATGCAGGCCTCGCTGTGACTTCATCCCTGAGATTCAATAGAAAATCAGAATAGACGTGATTCTGCCCGTAGTTCCAATGGGTCAGTCGTGGGCTCAGCCCCATCACAGCCTCTCCACTCATCCAGCACCAACAAGGTCCCAAAGCAGAACTGAGATTTAGGCATGGATTGGCAGATGGTATGACTGTCACCCCTGCTACAATTTGTATTCACATTAATTTTTTTCTTTTTGTATTTTTGGTTCACACCTGGTGAAGCTCAGGGGTTACTCCTGGCTCTGCACTCAGGAATTACTCCTGGCAATGCTCAGGGGACCATATGGGATGCCAGCGATTAAACCCAGGTCGGTCTTGTGCAAGGCAAATGTCCTCCCCACTGTACTATCGCCACCTTGCAGTAGAAGGAAGCAGAGCAGAGCGTGAGTTCTCCTAGGGCAGCTGAGGGCGTGCAGCCCTAGGGTTCCTAGACAAGGGGCCCAGAGGAACCGATCCCAGATCTCGGGCCTCCAGATCTATGAGAACGTTACTGTTCTGTAAAGACTGCAGGTCAGTGGTAAGCAGTCTCCTGGCAGTGATTAAAAACAAACACACAAAAACTTTGTTATGAGTTTTTATAGGGGACATTGAGCTGTAGTTTCTTGGAATATCTTTATCTGGTTTGGGGACCATACAAACCTGTCCATCAAGTTCAGCGTCTCACTCAAGCCAGTCTTGCCCTCTTGAGTCTGATCTCTTCTCGTGGGTATATTCATGGAAAGTTCATTAGTCATTCTCCTCTCTTTCTTCTGTGTCGTTAACATGTATTCCTTACTTCCTGCTACTTTTTTAAGGGAACCACAAAAGCAATGTGTGTATGGGGGCCTCTTCCTAAGGCACTTGGCCAACCAAGCCAAATGGTTCAATCCTAGAACCCAGTGGTGTTAGGGACCACCAGAGGAACCCTGGCAATATTTGGGGACCTCTGGGATTATACTGGTGGATTGAGGGGAGAGGTCAGGGGTTGAATGTGGGTCCTTTTGCATGCAACAGATATGCCTCTGACCACTGAACTATCTCCCGGTCCTCTAGTCCCCTTATCGCCCTACAAAAGATGGTAACAACACTCACACACACACACACACACACACACACTCACACACACACACACAGTCTTTCTTTTTGTAAAAACAAACAAAAAAATCTACAGTCTCTGAAAAGTACCAAGGTTTGAAAAATAAACAGGTAAATTCCATCAGATCCAGCACTATCACTCTGAAGTGTTTATCTGAAATATGTGAAAACACTATCTCCAAAGGGTACATGACCCTTTATGTTCACAACAGCGTACTCATTACACATCCATGCCCAAAGATGGGAGCAACAGATTATAGGATAAAGAAACCACGCATTAGGGCTGAGCTAGGGCACAATGGCCTGGGCCCTGTGTTACATGAGGGAGATCTAGGTTCAATCCCTGTGTCACATAGTCCCCAAGGTCCAGCTAGCGTGGCCCCAAATAATAACAACAAAGAAACCACAACAAACTATCAAGTACATATTCTCAACGAAAACTATTCTGCCTTTACAAAAGATGTGCCTTCGGGGACAAAATGGTAGGGATAATTGGTGGGTTATTAAGTGAAATAAAGAAGTGAAAGACCAAATACTTTCACTCTAATATAGAACAGGAATAACTGAGGAAATCAACTGGACAAAAAAAAAATCAAAGCTAACTCCTAGATTTGGTGAAAACTATGGTGGTATGAGAGGGAGAGAAGGGTGAGGGTCTTTTTGGTTGTGGGGGGCAGGGGCATTGGAACTGTGGAGGGAGGTGTGGTTAGTTATACGCCAATTGATGGATGAAGTAAACCCTTGAAGTCTCACACTGTTGACTGCGACAGCAGGCCTTGAAAACACGTAATAAGTCCATTTAAAAACCTCATATAGGGTAGGGCATTCACCATGACCCAGGTTCCCCCAAGTCCACCATGGGTAATTCCTGAGTACAGAGCCAGGAGTAACCCTCAGCACACCAGGTTTGGCCCAAAAAGAAAATAAGGAAGAAAGAAAAACCTCATATGACTCAAGGTCATGAACGATTTCACATTGTGAGGCACAGCATTCTCTTCTTAGATAACCATCTTTCACTGGCTAGCACTGCCCACTTTTTCCTTCCTCCTTCAAACGCTTCCCTTCGCTGAGCGTTCGGGCTACACTCCGGATTCCCTCCACCCCCACTTCTGAGGTCTGTCTTTTTCGCCAGCAGAACTTGTCAGCTCCTTGACCTGGTCATCTTGCCCTGAGACTCCCACAGAAGGGGCTGGCCCAGGGAGGTAATAAATGTGAAGCCGGGCTGCATGACAGGACACCTTTGTGGAGTAAGTTTGTTCACATAGAGAGCCATAAAGCAAGAGATAATGAACGGTATCGTCCTTCACTCTATCTGTCGTGAGCTATTCTTCGGCAACCATACTTGGCATTCCTCTTGAAAGGAAGAATGACTTTGAATATTTGCCTTCGGTGTGGTTGATTTTCGTTTCTCTAAAGTAATCCAAAGACAAAGATAAGTTACCATTTCCTCTTTCTGACTGCCGTCCTCTGTCTTTCTGGAAATATTATGTTAAGAAACAGCACACAGTCTACCATCATAAATATTTTAGGGTGCAATATATTGCTGTTGCTATAAGACAATTATGTACAGCAAACACTCAAGCTTATTTATCCTGCTTAACTAAAATCTTGTGCCACGTGAGAAGGACGAACAAAAACGCTGCATGGGCCTCCTCTGATTTCATTATAAAGATATTTATTAAACCTCCATGTGTCCTATAACTGCTTTTGACCTTCCACTGTTACTACCTTCTCTCTCCTCCTTTTCCTCACCTGCTAAAGATTGAGATCAACCAGTTGTCAGGTCTGAAAAATGGTTTTGTCTCTACACCAGGTGGTATGTCATCTTAAGACTGCAATTAAGTGTGTGTGCGCGCGTGGGGGGCAGAGCTGGGGAGAAACGCGAGTGTCTGCTCAGGCCGGCCGTTAAGAGCACGCACACCTGAGCACGTGCTGGCCAGCGCTGCTCTCAGTGACCAGACCAAAGAGGCTGTCTCTGGGCTCTTCTGCATGCCCAGTCTTGGATAAACGACTTGGCCACACTTGTGCTGCACCCCCCCCCCCCCAAGCTCAGATCACTCCCAGGGGACCCAGGAGTCAGACCAGCAGTGGGTCACTACCCAGGAAGGGCTGGGGAGTTGGGGCAGGGCTTGGGAGGAAAGCCGGGAGAGCAGTGGGTGTGATGCCGTCCTGGTGTGGCCGGTGGACCAGTAGAAGGTGGACATCACGAGCTACTTCCCTGCTTCCCGTTGCCCCGGGTATACTGCATCTCCTTCTCAAGGGGTCAAGATCTGTAAGGCAGAGAGAGGAAAGCAAAAACGGAGGGCTACCGTGGTTAGGGAGCTGTGCAGATTATGGCCGGGGGCCCACAGGGTCATTTGTGGAACTAAGAGGCCAGGAGCATAGCAGAGGCTGCACTTTAAAGACACCACTTAAGGCGCAGGAGTGGTGGAATGGCAGGGAGGACCCTGACCTTGCAAGCCATCTCCGGGGCCATCCCATGCATCACCGGACCCCTGAGCACAGAGCCAGGAGTAACCCCGAGCTACCAGGTGCAGCCCCCAGACAAACAAAAACCAAAAAAAAGCAAAATAACATTTAAAAAAAATTCAAGATTTACAATGTAAAATTGATTCCTGTTGGCTGGTTTCAAGGTGACTCCTGGGCAAGTCACTACCATTCGTTTCTTGCTTTGGGGGTCACACCTGGGGATGCACAAGGGTTACTCCTGGCTCTGCACTCAGGGATTACCCCTGGCGGTGCTCGGGGGGCCCATATGGGATGCTGGGAATTGAACCCGGGTCTACCTCGTGCAAGGCAAGCGTCCTCCCTGCTGCAGGTGACGGGTAGGTCACTACTTAAGAGAGGAAGTTGTGCTTTAGCAAAAGAACCAGACTCTAGGTGAGACCTGCGTGTCCACCAGCAAGGAAGTCGCAGGCCCTCCTCGTCTTCCCTGGACACTGAGAGGCCCTGGCCGGGGAATGGGGGGGGTTCACCCGCGCCACATGCCTACAAGGCGGCCACGGACTACAATTCCCAGCGTGCCCCGCGAGGAGGTGGCGAGGACTCCCATCCCCGGCGTGCCCCGCAAAGCGGGTAAAGACGTGAACTACATCTCCCGGCGTGCCCTGCGAGGCCGGGGGGGGGCGTGGACTACCTCTCCCGGCATGCCCCGCGAGCGGGCCGTGGGCGACACCTCCTAGCGTGCACGCCCCGCGAAGCGAGGCGAGGCGAGGCGAGGCGAGGCGGGGGGCGCGGACTACACCTCCCGGCGTGCCCCGCGAGCGGGCCTCGGACTACATCTCCCGGCGTGCCCCGCGAGGAAGAGCTGAGCGAGGGGGCGTGTCCCGCGCCGGGGGCGTGTCCCGCCGCGCCGCTTCCTCCCTCCTCCTCCTCGGGCCCCCGCCGGCGGCCGGGCGGGCGGGCGGGCGGGGAGCGAGCGGGCGGCGCCCCGCGGCGGGCGGACGGGCGGGCGTGAGACCGGAGCTTCCCGGATGTGGAGAAGCTGGGGAGGAGGCGTGGGAGGAAGATGGAGCCGGCCGAGAAGGGGGCCGCCAGCTCCGCCGCGCACCCGCGGGGCCGCCCGGGCCGGGGGCGGCCGCCCAAGCTGCAGCGCAACGCCCGGGGCGGCGCGGGCCGCGGCCTGGAGAAGCCGCCGCACCTGGCGGCGCTGGTGCTGGCGCGCGGGGGCAGCAAGGGCATCCCCCTGAAGAACATCAAGCACCTGGCGGGGGTCCCGCTCATCGGCTGGGTGCTGCGCGCCGCCCTGGACGCGGGGGTCTTCCAGAGGTGCGGGCCGGGGCCGGGGCCGGGGCGGGGGGTCGGGGCCGGGGCGCCCGCGCTGCCGCCCCCTGGGCCGGGGCCTGTCCCCGCCCTGGCCGGGGGCGGGAGGGGGGCCCGCGGGAGCCCCTGCTGGCTGCGGGGCCGGGGTCCCGGGTCCTCGCGCCGTGTGAGTCAGCAGGTGCATCGGCCGGGCCCTTTGTGGCGGCGCCGGGCCGGGGGTCCCGGGCTGATGTCATGCCCTGGAGGGGAGGGGGCGCCGAGCGCAGCGTGCACGGGGGAGGAGGGCGCGGCACCTTGTCTCCGCCCCGGCCGGGGTGGGGAGCTGAGGACCCTCGCCCGGTTCTCCCCCGCCCCCCGCCCCCCACGCACGCGGCTCGCCCGCAGCCCCCCGCGCGCGCGCAAGGTCTGGAGCAAGCAGGACGGGTGATGCACAAACGTCCCCGGGGGAGGAGGGGGGTTCCCGCGTGGCTTCTGGGGGCCGCGCCCCGCCGTGGGATCGCGCCTGGCGGGGACCCCGGGGGGACCAGATGGGGGTCCCCGGAGATGGAGCCCAGGTGGGCGGCCCACTCCGCACTGTCTGTCGCCCGTTGCCTGCGTGCTGCAGTCCCGGGCGAGCCGCGGGTGGGGCGGGAGGCAGCCCCCCAGATAAGGTGATGGACAGCTGCGAGGGGCTGATAGGGAAGGGGTGTGGGGCGCCCGCCGCCTTGACGCAGCTCGAATTCCTGCCACACGCGCGCGCGCACACACACACACACACACACGCATATGCACAAACACACACGGACGCAGACGCACGCGCGCACACGCACAAAACACATGCACATACGTACATGCACAAACACACATGCACACACATACACATGCGCGCGCACATGCACAGACACGGACACACATACGCACGCACACATACATGCTCAAACACGTACACATACATGGGCACACACACTAACATCCAAGGGGATACCAGGCTGAATGCTGGACACCTCGCCTCGTTTTGAAGCAGGGACTTTCGGGTATTTTTACAGTCCTCCCAGACGGTTCATGATGAGGGTAAAAATTAATAATAATGATAATGATGATAAGAGACACCCAGGCATCAGTGTGACGGGAAAATTCCATTTTTGGCGACATGAAGGACAGGTCAAAATTCAATAGTAGGAAAGTTATTCATTATGAAAAAGGAAAGTTAATTTCAGGTGGTTCTTGGTGGCCTCTGCTCAGAGCCTCTGTCGTACTGGGTTTGGTAAAAGAAAGTTGGGGGTGGGGGGGGTGGGTACGTCTTGTTTGGGCCACAGTCGGGTTTAAGGGCCAGAGTGGTTCCTTGGCCCAGGGAAGGTGTGGACTGTGGCCACTGCTGCTGTCATTTCCGGGAGGTCAGTGCCCCCTTCCTGGAGGGAGGGGGGGCGAGGGGTCCTAGTGACTAGGAGAGGGGGCCCATGCCCCTTGGCCTGGGCTCAGGCCGTTCTTCCGGGAGAGCGTTTCAAAGGCCCTCCTATCCTTGGAATAATCCGAGTAACAGCAGTGACAGGAGCAGGGTGGCTGCGGCGTTGGAGTTTACTCTAAACAACACCCAGGAGTTGGGGAGAATCAGGGAGCAGGACAGGGTGACCGTCCCCGTGGGGAGAGACAGGCGGCCCCCAGGACCCCCTTTCCCGCACACAGACCCATGAGAGGGAAATATTATTATTATTATTATTATTATTATTATTATTATTATAGAATAGTTACTGCTCTTCTAATAGTTCTAATTGGCTGGAGCTATAGCACAGCGGGTAGGGTGTTGCCTTGCCTCCAGCCGACTGGAGTTTGCCCGGCCGACCCAAGTTCGATTCCTCCGCCCCTCTCGGAGAGCCCGGCAAGCTACCGAGAGTATCTCGCCCGCGCGGCAGAGCCTGGCAAGCTACCCGTGATGTATTCGATATGCCAAACACAGTAACAACAAAATCTCCGATGGAGATGTTACTGGGCCCGCTCGAGCAAATCGATGAACAACAGGAGGACAGTGCTACACAATAGTTCTAATCAAATATTAGAATAGTTCCTCCAGAGCGGTGTTTCTCTGCCTCCGTCCATGGCCCTCTGCTGACCTTGTTCCCGTCCTGGCCACCCCCCACCTGCTTTCCTAGTCTCCATCTGTGGCCCCTGACTAATGCGGTTTTCACCTGTGGTACCCCCGGGCCCCCCAGTTGAGAGCAGGGGGCCTCAAAGACCACTGCAGGCCGGAGTCACTAGTCTCGTGTCGCCGTCTTCACACTGTGGTGTGGGGTCAGCCCTGCCATTGACCAGGCCTCAAGCGATGTGCACCCCCCCTTCCCCCCCGCCAGCTTGGGGTACCTCGCGTCAGAGAGCTTCCTGGCTAGAGCAAACCCCGGTTGTTTACTGGGGGATCAACCCCTGGGCGCCCTCTCTAAACTGTAGGCATGTGGGGGTACTTCATCCTCCCCGCTGTGTCTGCACTGTGGATACTGCATGGGCCCCTGAGGGTGCATCTTCATGTCACTGCAGTCCCGTATCCGCTGCTGTGGATACTGCATGGTCCCCTGAGGGTGCCTCTTCATGTCACTTGCAGGGACAGCCAGCGGAGGGGTCACGCCTACCTCATCCCATCTGAAGTCTCCAGCCTGTAGCTGGGGGCAGTTTGAGGTCAGTGCACACCGGCCCCTTCCCACCAAGTGTCCTGCTTCTCCAGGGGACTCGCTTCTTGGTGGCTTAAGTCGAGTCAGAAAGCCGCGTGCAGAGCTGGGCTTGCACACTCTTGGTCTTCAGCCCGGGTTAGTGCCGTGGAAGTGACCCCGAGGGCCAGCTGATTTTTCAGTGTTGCCCAATCTGTGAATACAGTTACACCTCCTGGTTTCATCTCTGGACTGTGACTTGTGGAAGGCCACTGCTGTGTGTTTAGCCTTTAGATGGCAGCTTCCGGTCTTAATAACCGGCGTTGGCACCAGGGCCCCATACTCTGCTCATCCACTAGGCCGTGACCTCATTTAAAGCTAACGCCCTGGCGTCAACTGCCATTTGCTTGGTGCTTAATCTGAAGTCTTGCAGCCTGTTTGGGAAAATGACTCCTCTACCCTCTCTTCACAGAAGTTCCTCAACCACAGAAAAATGACTTCCTTATTGCCTTGCCTAGATGCTGGTCATTGTATTTCAGTGTACGACGGGTTTGCTGTTTCTTCCCTCATGGAGCCTCTGTGTCACAGTACATGTCAGATTGTTGAACCTTTAAAGGCCTGGGAGCAGAACTTCATTCTTCCTTCCAACAGATTCCGTACGAGAATTAAATAAGACTGTAACTATCGCTTTATTGCCGTTCGTGGTCACACTTGATTTGAATGACAGCCATTAAATGTTTATGTTGTAGTTTAGGCTAAAACCTCCAACAGCCCCAGGAGGTCATTCTCGTATGATCACTTGTATTTATTTATTTATTTTTTGGCCTTTTGGGTCACACCCGGCGATGCACAGGGGTTACTCCTGGTTCTGCACTCAGGGATTACTCCTGGTGGTGCTTGGGGGACCATATGGGAAGCTGGGAATCGAACTGCATGCAAGGCAAACGCCCTACCCGCTGTGCTAGTGCTCCAGCCCCTATCACTTGTATTTTACTGACTGTGGAGACTTATAGTGATGGCCGTTTCCGTGGGTTACAGGGCTGGCCTGTGCGCATTCAGAACCCGAACCCCTGCCTTTGGAACCCGGACTCAGCCATGTCCTGCTTCACCCATTCACCACTTCTGTGTTGACCGTCTCTTAGGTACAGGAACTGGGGCTATAAAAATACTTTCTAGACAGGAAAGCTTCCGTAGAGCCTGGTTATTGCTTTACCGCTCCTCATGACCTACAGAGAACTATAGGGCCCGTTGTTCTCAGGTGTGTTTCACAAGAGAATGAAATCTTTCTCTCCAAGGCCCCGTGCCCGGGACATAATATACTTCGTAAATAAATTATGAAAGAAAAGGAAGGAGAAAACAAGCAAAGGTCTTTTAGAATGTGTGTGTGTGTGTGTGTGTGTGTGTGTGTGTGTGTATGGTTGGTAGTAAGCCCAGGACCTCAAACATAAGAGGTGTGCCCTATACCTGCATCTAGCCACGTCTCTGGTCCCCAAAGTACCTGGTTTTTATTTACCTTTTTTAAGAAATTTTATTTCTTTTTTTTTTCTTTTTTTTTTTCTTTTTGGGTCACACCCGGCAATGCTCAGGGGTTACTCCTGGCTCTGCACTCAGGAGTTACTCCTGGCGGTGCTCAGGGGACCATATGGGATGCTGGGAATCGAACCTGGGTCGGTCGCGTGCAAGGCAAATGCCCTACCTGCTGTGCTATCACTCCAGCCCCTTTATTTACCTTTTAAGCATCGAAAAAAATGTTATTGATTTTGTGGTGCTGAGTTTTATTATATTAAATACCAAGGTGGTCAAGTGCATGGCTTCAAAAATGCCTGGCGACATCAGTCAGATGCCGGATTATCCATTTTTTTCCTTCTCCTCCTATTGACTTTTCACTCGCCATCTTTTTTTTTTTCATTATTTATTTTTACTTTTATTTTACTTTGATATGGTCGTTCACAATATTTGATTACATTTAATATTCTAACATCCATCCCACCACCATATTTCGAATGTTTCCATCTCAAACCCCAAGCCCCAAAGCAGAACCGAGATCATTTATTTTATATTGCTTGTTAGGAATAATCTGCTAAAAATGACCTAAACGAGGTTTCTTAGAGGAAAGTGTGTGAAGATTGTCGTATTTCACCCGGGAGCCATTAAGCCCTTCTCTAAGAGATCAGGAACAGGTTGTTAAAGGTTGAGCCTTGTGTGCGTGTCTAAATAATGCATGTGCATATTTCCCCCCTAAGTTTGGTCGCCTTCTGTTTTAAATCCCATCAAACGTGGTGCGCTAGTCTTGGTACATCAGTGGTATAAAATATGAGATGTCTTACGGCTCACTCTTGCCTTTTTTTTCCGGGGGCGGGGGAGGGTTGGTGTCACACCCAGCGATGCTCAGGGGTTACTCCTTGCTCTGTATTCAGGAATTACTCCTGGCGGTGCCCAGGGGACCATGTGGGATGGCAGGGATTGAACCCGGGTCGTCTGCGTGCAAAGCAAACGCCCTACCTGCTGTACTATCGCTCCAGCCCCTCACTCTTGCCATCTTAACATATGCCTTACCCTTGTCCATTTGAAGCATGCAGTGGAATTTTGTTGTTGTTTTCCTACCTTTAGATCATTTCTCTGCTGAAGAAGTGTCAAAATTAGTGGAGATTTCCAGATGGGGGGGTCCGTGGGGGCCCCTGTGTTCTGTCTAGGCGGTCTGCACGAGGACCTGGCCCACTTGGCCCTGTTACTTTATTATATAAACCTGACTCCTGCACATGTTGGAGACAGTACATGAAATTACATCTTAGGTAGTGGCCTTCAGTTTCTCTTTTGACAGCTTGACCATTTGAAACTTGTCCTTCCTCTTAGGGAAGGGATGGCGGAGAAAGTCGCGGGTCCCAGAGGCCAGGTGTGACAAACACGTCAGCATCATCAGCAGAACCCACAATTAGCTTCGGGGATCCTTAAAGGCCCGGGGCATTTCAGTAGAGACCGGCCAGCCCCATCCCCAAGGGTCATTTCTGTCTTGGCCACTGTCTTCCTACAGGCTCCCCGGGAGCCGCGCTGCTCACTCTGGCCAGCCAAGCCGTGGGCCCTGGGACTCTGTGGCCCTGTGAGCCCCGTGGCCCTGTGACTCCGTGACTCCGTGGTCCTCTGGTCCCATGGCTCCGTGCACGCTGCTTTGAGTGTTTCTGTGCCCATTGATGAGCATCAGATAGTTGGGGAAATGAAAAGTTGAATTAGCTAATTATTTTGAATCCAGACTTTCTTTTAAGCTCTAGCTAAATTTGACTAAACCAAGTCCAATTTTTTTTTCTTAGCAAGTAGATGAGAATGCATTCTACAATATTTTGTATGTATAGGGAATAAAAACTGAATTATCTTTCAGTTTTAATGATCTGAATTCATATTCTCCTTTATAACAAAGCAGTTGCCTTAAAAGTGCCAATTGTCATTGCCCCTAATTTTTAAGAGACTAGCACTACAGAAATGCTTTTTTTTTTTTTTTGGCTTTTTGGGCCACACCTGGCGATGCACAGGGGTTACTCCTGACTCTACACTCAGGAATTACCCCTGGCGGTGCTCAGGGGACCATATGGGATGCTGGGACTCGAACCCAGGTCGGCCGTGTGCAAGGCAAATGCCCTACCCGCCGTGCTATCGCTCCAGCCCCAGAAATGCTATTTTTTTAATAAAGAGAATTTATTCATCTTACATGAAGGAGGTCACCACCTTTCATTTATTTTATTTGTTGGTTTTGGGCCCCTGCCCAGTGATGCTTACGCTCAGGGAACCATATGGGATGCCAGGGATTGAACCCCAGTCGGCTGCTTGCAAGGTGAATGCCTTACTGTTGCATTCTCTCCGGCCCCTAGAAATGCTGTTTATATGAATGAGTGTAGTAAAAATTTGTAAAATAAAATTATATCTAATATTTAATGATATGCACACATATAAATAATATTTTCCTTAAGTTTTATATTACTTTGGACTTGTAGCATTATTTTGTTGACCCACAACTAAAATTATGTGAGTGATATTTTGGGGTCACAGAGCCTTTTTCATCCTTAACGATTTAGTGATTTGGTTTTTTTGTTGATTTTTTTTCATTGTCATTGCAGCGTCTGGGTTTCGACGGACCATGATGAAATTGAAAATGTAGCCAAGCAGTTTGGGGCGCAAGTCCACCGAAGAAGCTCTGAAGTTTCCAAAGACAGCTCTACCTCGCTCGATGCCATCGTAGAATTCCTCAGTTACCACAATGGTATGGGTTTCCAAGTTTATTCAAGAGTTGATGGAACTTCCGACTGGTTATCATCTCACAAGACGTATTTTTTAACGCTCGTATGTAAGATCGTGGTATGATTTGCTGTCAGACAACTTACTTCTGATGACTTTCTCATCTGCTGTGTCTTTTCTTCAGAGGTGGACATTGTAGGAAATATCCAAGCGACTTCTCCATGTTTACATCCCACTGATCTTCAGAAAGTAGCGGAAATGATTAGAGAAGAAGGATATGATTCCGTTTTCTCTGTCGTGAGGCGCCATCAGTTTCGGTGGAGTGAAATTCAGAAAGGAGGTAATCGGTCATATCACTATTTTAGCTGATTGATGGGACTCAGTTCACATGTAAATATCTTCTAGAAGTGAGGAAAGTGAAGTGGGAACAGTGAAGACAATGTGATTCTTCCCTGTATGAGGTGATGATGTTTACAATCAGTTCTAAATGTTGTGATTATTGAGGCAAGAAGGGAGACCAGGGATGGAGCAGTATCACTTGCCTTGCACGCGGCTGACCCGGGTCAGTCCCCGGCATCCCATTTGGTCCCTCAAGCACAGCCAAGAGTGATTCCTTAGCACAGAGCCAGGAGTGAGCCCTGAGAATAGCTGAGTCTGCCTCCCTCCCCTCCAGAAAAGGAGGGAGACCAATTTACTTCACTGCTTTACTTTTTACAAAGGGACTTTTTATTATTATTATTATTATTTTTATCATTATTATTAGTTAAACACCATGAGGTACAGTTGTAGACTTACAAGCTTTTGTGCTTGGGTTTCAGTTACACCATGATCAAGTACCCATCCCTCCACCAGTGCCCATTCTCCAGCACCAATGATCCCAGTAGCCCTCCCACCCCCTACCCCAACCCCTCCACCCCACCCCGCCTCAGTGGCAGGGCATTCCCTTTTGCTCACTCTTTCCTTTAGGGTGTTGTAGTTTGCAACAGAGATATTGAGTGGCCATTGTGTTCGGTTTATAGTCTACTTTCAGCACACATCTCCCTGAGAGAGTCCTCCGAACATCTACAAAGGGCCATTTTAATCCTGCATTTGCCTTTGGAGGCAGACTGACCACTGACTTAGGTCAAATTTCTTGGTGTTTGTTTCGGGCTATTGATAAACTCTGTATAGATTATAGAGCATGCGACTAGAAATCTCCCACCACAAAGTTCTGAGGGATCTCAAGAGTGAATGTGGGACTGCTTCCCAAGATATATTACTCTTTATGTAAAAAGAGTTCTGTAGGGTTTAGTTCTGGAGTCTGATTCCTCGCCCGACAGATCACGTCTCTGCAAACTTCAGAAATGTCGGCAACAAACAACTAACGGCCGCATCCTCAAGCACAGGCTGTGTGTCACAGGTGGCACGGCTGTTTTAATTGTCTAAGCACGTGTGACTTCAAGGAAATAGCGAAGGTGGTATAAAACGGGAGGAGGTATTGAAAAGAACGACTTAGGTAAGGGACTGAAAATAGGTGGAAAGAATGAATCTTTGGTCTATGTTATTGAAACTAGCCCCAGATTCTGTGCTGAGCTAACTGTAAAACATTTTGAATTTAAGTCAATAAGCCCGAGAAATCAGGTATCTGAAGGACTTAGTAAAACTTGAAGGAAAAAAAACAAACAAACAAATTTTTGAAGCAGATCAAGGAAGTCTAATGTTAGAGCGAATACCGAGCTTTTCCTTAAGCGTCTTATGGCTGCAGTTAAGAAGGTTAAGGAAGGGTGGAGAGAAAGAGCTGGCGAGGCGCTTGCCTGGCCTGTGCCCAGCCCAGTCCTGTCTCCGGCACCTCATGTGCCCCCCCCGCCCCCCCCCAGCCTCCTTGGGTGGAAGCCCTGAGCACAGAGCCAGGACAAAGCCCTGAGCGATGTTGGATGTGGCTCAGAAATCAAAACCGAAAAGGTTAAAGAATTGTTTAGATTTTTTTTTTTAATTTTTAAATAACAATTTATTGAAGTTAATGACAAAACAATAATTATCATAAATAGTAACACAGTACAACACAAGATTACTAAGAATCCCATTATATAATATGTATATTCTAACATTTTAAAAAAACATGATCATATCCAGTGTGAACAACCACTTCTGCTTTACTTATTTTTGCTTGTCAAAAAATGAAGGATTTTCTTTGCCTGTGAATGTTCCTTACTTTACCAATGCTCTCCATTTGGAAAATAATCTTGTAAATTGGCTAATTTGTAATTGAAGGTCTGTAATGTAATCATTCAGCTTGCATTTCTGTCGAAAACAATCATGAAAACTTGAACCACATCTTTAGGTAACTTAAATCAATAGGGGCTTTTTATTTATTTATTTTTTTTGCTTTTTTTGGGTCACACCCGGCAATGCACAGGGGTTACTCCTGGCTCTGCACTCAGAAATTATTCCTCCTGGCTGCGCTCAGGGGACCATATGGGATGCTGGGAATCGAACTCGGGTTGGCCGCGTGCAAGGCAAGCGCCCTACCCGCTGTGCTATTGCTCCAGCCCCAACAGGGGCTTTTTATAACTATTTATTATTCTCACCTAGTCTTCCAGAAAGGTAATTTAGAATTTTGATCATCTTTCTGGGCTACTACCTACCTATTCCCTAAGGAATCATTCAGCTAATGACATAATAAAAAAGCCTTCTCTCCTCTTATCAAAATGCTATTGATTTCTTTCATCCACATGGCACTGGCATGTTAGTAGTCACAGGGATTCACTAGGAGGATCAGCGCCCCTGAAAGGGGTAGAAAATCCTACACTTCTTTATGCCTAAAGACAAAGAATTGTTTAGATTGAACAGATGTCAGACCCACGAATACTTTAAATAAATCTAGGTATATTTGAAGAAACATCCTTTTAACGTAAAGAGATACAGTGCAGTGGCAACCTGAGTGCTGTGTGCTTGGCTTACCCACGTGTGATCCCAGGCACGGCTTTTGGTCCCCTGGGCGCCACCAAGAGTGTCCCTGGTGAGCACAGAGCCGGGAGAAAGTCCCGCGTACGGCCAGGCCTGGCCCCAAAGTAGAAACAGAACAAAACAGGAAAGAATGACAGGGACAGAAATGACTATTTCCTTCGCTGGTACAGTGTGAAACGGCCTATCTGATGGATAGGCCTTCTCAGCTGGGAGGCCCTATGCCAGTGTTTCTGCTAGAAGGGCCCCCAGGCATCAATAGTCATTCCATTTTACTTTCTGTAACTCTTTGTATCCTTTTATTTTTTACATTGGAACTTGACTGTCGAATACAGTAGCCACAGAGGTAATAAGAACCGCCAAGTCCAAATTCAGATGTCCAAACTCTGGGTGCCCAGGGGGCCTGCCTGTGGCAGCCTGCCTTTCCTCAAAAGGAGAACAAGGCTCTTCAAGCCCCAAGCCACATTTATTATCTCCTTCCTTTCTAGAACGTCAACAGATTTTTTTAAATTTTTTAAATTTTATTTGTTTATTTATTTATTTTTGCTTTTTTGGGTCACACCCAGCAATGCACAGAGGTTACTCCTGGCTCTGCACTCAGGAATCACCCCTGGCAGTGCTCAGGGGACCATATGGGATGCTGGGAATCGAACTCGGGTTGGCCGTGTGCAAGGCAAACGCCCTACCCGCTGTGCTATTGCTCCAGCCCCAGCAGATTTAAAAAAAAAAAAAAAACTTAATGGCGTGCACACACGCACACAGACACACACATACTCATACACACACACACACATATATCAACAAACAAACATATCAGTTTTTATAGTTTTTCTCTATAATTTTGATTGATTTAAATTTGTGTTCAGTGATAATTACATCTGACATCTTCAGTCCACTCAGTTCTGTCCAGTGAAATATTTCAGAGAGTGTTCTTGCATTTCAGAATGCAAAGCAGTCCTGTTGCTTTTTTGAAGTAACATCTTGGCAATGTTTTTAAATGTTTTTTGTTCAATTCTAAGAGGTGTCATTCTCCTGAAATTCTCCAGACCGTCACCCCTTCTAAAAAAATTGGTTTTTTGCCCACTTGACATATTTCTGAGAGTTGCTTTTAAGATCCTGGGTTGCAGACTCCAGTGCACTGTCGTGTTTCTCTGATGGGCCGGGTGTGTCTGCTCCTTCATACGTGTTGCATGTCGTCCCCATCTGCCCTGACGGCCACTCAGAGCAGGTTAGCCAAGGGAGGGCGCCGTGTCGTCTGCCGGGCAGGCTGGGGGTGATCGCCTGGGGCGGCTGAGAAGCTCATTGCAGAGCTTAGTCTGCTATCAAGTGAGGCTCCTCTCTGCGAACGGGATGTGGAACTAAGCACCTTCAAACTGGAACCCACCTTTCTGCCCATTGCCAGCCCCTGTGCCCTGCATGCCCACGGGCGCCCCCCCAGCAGGGAATTCCTCTTTTGGACAGTCCCACCGGTGACTGTCCACGACGCCGGTCCCCAGCCCACTGAAATCTCTGCTCTCGCCTGAGCCTGTGGTGGCCCGATGCTTTTGCTGGGTTTGACGTTGCTCTTGCGTCTTTGTCAGACTCAGTAAGCACCGCTGTGCCAAAGCACCCACTGACCGCAGCCACTGACCGTTGCTCAGTCGGGAAGACGGGTCCTTTCTTCAAAGGTCTTGAACTACCCCGATTGTCTTGGGTCGTCTCCACCCCCAGGCTGCCCGCTCTGTGGTCCAGCGGAGTGCGCCCAGAAACCTAGACGCGTGCAGCATGTTCGATGACAGCCTCTCCGGGTGGTCCTGCCCAGCCCTGGGGTGGACGCGAGCAGAGGAGGTGGATGGGAGCGCGAGGTGGAGTGATGCCCAGAAGCTTTTCCATAAAGTGAGGAAGAGGCTGTGAAGCGCCACCAGCTCATGAAAACGTGTGCGAGCATCATTTGTGTGGGCAGACCCAGGCCTGGGGGAGGGGTGAGGTGAAGACCGAAACCCCCAGAGCCCTGCACGGAGCAGTTCATCCCATTGATCATTAGCATCCGTGTGGCTGAGTCAAAACTGAGGGTTGTACAAGCAAAAATAATAAGCATACATTGTGTATTTTATCTGCTAGTAAGACTATAATAGTATATTAGGTGAACATTCCTCAGAATGAAGCATTGTAGGAATTGAATGGAGAACTTTCAGGTTTTTATAACTCCGTGAAATTAACTTCTCAGCTACATTATTTCAAACGTCTTTAATTTTTTTTCCGCCTGTAACTCCTTTCCAGCAAAGAGAATTTAACATGTTCTTGTGTCTCTAGATATAACAATACAGAGAGACGTCAGATATCTACTGATAATCATAAATTTATTTTAAAACAGTTTTTTTGGAAAAGTTACCCGACCCCAATTGGGGGTCTTCATCCACAGTTTTGGAATCTAGACATCTGGTGTACACGTGCATTGTACTCAGAGGGAAAAATACTTTTAAATATATGAGCTCAGATATGCAGATGGGCAGTTTAAGACAAACTCAGTTTTTTTGTAGGCACATTAAGGTTGTTTTGGTATCTTTCAAAAGCACCGCATTTATATAAAATAGGTTAAAAATCCTAGTTATTCAGAATTCTGATATAAAATAATTTTTCTGTTACTATTATTTCAGAAAAAAGTATGTGTTCAGAATTATTAAGGATTTTTTTTCCTTTAAAAAAAAAAGGTTCCCATAGGGCTTAGGAGAAAGTGTGGGGCTCAGGACTTACGTGCCCAAACCCGGTTCCATCCGCTATAAGCTGCCCCCCCCCACCTCTCCGCTGGTCCAGGGGCCCCAAGTGCTGGAGGTGTGGCCCTCATGGCCCGTTCTGCAGGCCCCCGTGGGGAACCACTGGCCTGGGGGACCAAGGGTCCATCTGGGACTGACCCCTGGGACTCCTGCCATTCCTCCTGAAAGTCCTTTTCAGTCATTTAGAGAAGAGGAAAATGTCTGTATCCTGAGCTGCTGAGGTGTTTCTTTTTCTTTCTTTTTTTTTTTCCTTGCTTTTTGGGTCACACCCAGCGATGCACAGGAGTTATTCCTGTATCTGCACTCAGGGATTATTTCTGGCGGTGCTTGGGGGACCCTATGGGATGCCGGGGATCAAACCTGGGTCGGCCGCGTGCAAGGCAAACACCCTCCCCGCTGTGCCATCGCTCCAGCCCCCCTGAGTTTGTTTCTTACCCACTGACAGACCCGCTGTCTTCTCACCCAAGCGCTCTGCTTTCAGGTCACGAAGAGACCACCAAACCTTTGAACTTGAATCCGGCCAAACGCCCTCGCCGGCAGGACTGGGATGGAGAGTTGTATGAAAACGGCTCCTTTTATTTCGCTAAGAGGCATCTGATAGAGAAGGGCTCCCTGCAGGTTTGTGCCTTCTTTCCACAAAATTCCCCGGAAGCCCTTTCCAGGAGTGGCCCCAGCAGGCCCGTGGGTCTGTCCAAAGGCTTCTCCCGGGTAGACATTGAGGAAGCATTCGGTAAACATGCCAGGAATTCTGCTATGGGACAGATATTAAGAAGAGCAGCTCCTACCTGTCCTGGGGTCCCTTTCTATACCACTCAGAGCTGTTTGTCAGCCACGGCTGTTCCTGGCGGGTCGTGCTTGTACAATCGAATAACTTCTATCTCTGGGGAACAAGAGATAGGAAACAGTTCGAAGCGAGCGGGCGTCAGAGAGCAATGATCATAGTTGTGGCGAGGTAGGCTTGAGGGTGGGGTTTTATCTGTCCCCAGTCGTTGCTTTTATTTGAAAATAAGGGGGTTGGCTGTCTCCCTCACGTGAGCGTTGAGAGGGCACGGCTCCTTCACATGCTGTTTGTTTGTCCATTGAGTCAGAGCTCTTATTTATTGAGCACGTTACTGTGTCCCAAGGGTGGTACGGAGTACTTTGCATGGGCTGCCTGCTGTAACCGTGCCCAGCAGTGGGATGGAGTGGACACTGCTCCACGAGGTTACAAAGAAGGAAATGGCAGCTCTGAGCCATGAAGTAATGGGCTCAAGACAGAAACAGGTAACCAGTGGTATTCTCAGGATTTGAACTCGGCTCCTTAGGTAGTCCAGAGATAGCATTAATAAACAGACGAACAACCGCCTCTCCCTTTCATGGCAAGAATTCTCCAGTGACTCCTGGTGTGCAGGGAGACTTTTCCCAGCCTTCCCTCAGAGGACAGGCAACCGCAGACGGGCTCTTTGGCTGAGTTTGAGTATTGAGGAAATTCAGGCCTGACCCATCGCTGATCCCACCCACCCCAGCTCCTGCCCAAGAGTCTGACCCTTTCCCAAAGCGTGGAGGGAAGGGAGATGCTCGTGACACTGAGATTTCGGAAGAGACTGAATGTCTGGAAGTGGAACTGACTGATGACTACTGTCTCGGGTTCCGGAGCCGTGTCTGCTGTGGCCTAGACACTCGGGGAAGCTGAGACAAACGTGATGTCAGGGACTCCCCAGAGGTAACGTTCCGACCACCCCCTCGCCTCTTGAGGGGGTAAGAAATTACCTGGTGCCCGGCTGGAAATCTGCTTTCTCTAAAGAAATGAACAGAAAGGGCCCCTGGGTGGCCCCAGCCCGCCTCTCTGTTTGTCAGCCTCTGTCTTGTGGGACAGACGTCCTGGAGGCCTTTCTCCTGTTTGGGGAGCTGTCAGGCACAGGGAACTGCATCCCTCCAGCGAGGGCGTTTCCCAGGCTCCGGAAACTGGAGCTGCCGGGGACACCTGCCCTTTCTCATCCCGACCATGGGAACCAGGCGGGAAACGGCACCGAGCAGATGGGTCCTGACAGATGTCGAGGGTGCCTGTCTGCGGTGGTTCCAGACGGCCTTTTCAGCTGGCGTCTGACAGAGTTGGTTCTTTAGTCCTTGGAGGTGGCCTCCCCGACCCGTAGAACGCCAGGCGCTCGATGTGCCCGAGGGACCTTGAGGTGTGGACTCATTCATGGCCCCTCCCTCACCTCCACAGGGTGGCAAAATGGCCTACTACGAAATGCGGGCCGAGCACAGCGTGGACATCGACGTGGACATCGACTGGCCCATCGCGGAGCAGAGGGTGTTGAGGTAAAAGCAAGATCCACGTGTCTTTGGCACCGCGTCTGTCTTAGCCAGTCTTGGCCCGTGTGTTTAACCCCACTGGAAACGCTGGTTTCTGGTGTCGCTGGCATCGTAGGAGTTTGTCGTTCAGTTGCTCCTGCAAGGAAATCTGTGCAGATGAACGTGCCTCTGTGTGTGTGTGTGTGTGTGTGTGTGTGTGTGTGTGTGTGTGTGTGTGTTTGGGGGTTGGGGGAGACAGTCTGGTTAGAAGCGTCCGTGACGGGCACGGGCAGGGGTGTCGGCATCTCCTGCAGGGGAGCGGGAGACTTGATGTACCGGGGAGTAGGTCAGGAGTCACCCGGGTTGTGCCTGTATTCAAAAGCTTCTTCTGATTCTTTTTAGATATGGCTATTTTGGCAAAGAGAAGCTTAAGGAGATAAAACTTTTGGTTTGCAATATTGACGGATGTCTCACGGACGGCCACATTTATGTATCGGGAGACCAAAAAGAAATAATATCTTATGATGTAAAAGATGCTATTGGGATAAGTTTACTAAAGAAAAGTGGTGTGGAGGTATGTGCCCCCGAATGCTGCAGTGTTGTTTGTTTGTAAGAAGATGAGGTGGGTCTAGAGAACCCTGCATAAGAGAATTGTACTTGCAGTGTTATCTGTTAAAATCATCTGAAATTCAGGGGCTGAAGCAATAGCACAGCGGAGAGGACGTTTGCCTTGCACACGGCCGACCCGGGTTCGATTCCCAGCATCCCATATGGTCCCCCACGCACCGCCAGGGGTAATTCCTGAGTGCATGAACCAGGAGAACCCCTGTGTATCACCGGGTGTGACCCAAAAAGCAAAAAAACAAATCTGAAATTCAGCCTTCACATGCTTAGAAAATTTTCACAGTTATTTTCCTTTGAATGACTAAAGGTAGGAATTTGTCGATGCTCATTTACTGTGACTCGGTTACTAAGTCGGAACATGTTTTAGATTGGTGTTATGAAGCATTTTCCTTAGGATCTTACATGGTCACGGTCACGGTCCTCCTGTTGTTCATCAATTTGCTCAAGTGGGCCCAGTAACGTCTCCATCATGAGACTTGTTGTTACTGTGTTTGGCTTATTGGGTACGTCACGGGTAGCTTGCCAGGCTCTGCCGTGTGGGCGACAAGATAGATTTCACAGAAATTCCGTGTCAGCATTATTTTTTTTAAAAAATCAAATACCTTGTGGCATTTTTAAAGTGCTTTGTTGTTTTTTATTTATTTCTGGGTTTGGGGACCCCACTGAACAGTGTTCAGAGCTCACTCCTGGCTCTGTGCTCGGGGACCACTCCCGGGGCACTCAGGGAAGAGTGGGGTGATGGGGACCGAACCCGGGTCAGCTGTGTGCAAGGCAGACACTTCACCTGCTCAACTCTCCAGCCTAAAGTGGCTTATTCTTAGGATGGAAATTTTCATTCGAAACAACAATACTTAAGTAGATTTTCAAAATAGTAGACCAAGGTGCTTTTTTTTAAAACTCACTAGAAATCCTTAAGTGTTTGTAGGTATCCAAGTGTCAAATAAGTGTCCAGGGGAGATGGTCAATAGACTGTCCTCTGGCTATTTTATTACCGGGGAAGATTAGCTGGTTATCAGACACCATTCGTGGTATTTTATACCTACACGTAGATTCCTTTCCACTGGAGGAAATAGTGTCCTTCACCTCCCTTAGACTAAGAGGAATAAAGTGCTTCAAAGCTTCATTAGTTTAGGGCGACAGTTGATTCGCTCCACTGATTTTCCCACAAGGTCAGAGGACTTACGCTTTTTGTATTTTTCACCCAGTGGCATTTCACTGGGACATTGTCTCTTCTTCCTCCCTGTTCTGAGTCTGCCTCTTCCTCTCTCTGTGAAGGTGAGGCTCATCTCAGAACGGGCCTGCTCGAAGCAGACGCTCTCGTCCCTGAAGCTGGACTGCAAGATGGAAATCAGCGCCCCTGACAAGCTGGCCATCGTGGACGAGTGGCGAAAGGAGATGGGCCTCAGCTGGAAGGAGGTGGCGTACCTCGGTCAGTACCTCTCTCCCTCAGCCGTCGGGAGATGGGCCAGAATAATAATTATCATCATCATCATTCATTTTGGTTTGGGGACCACCCTCAGTGGTGCACAGGGCTTACTCCTGGTTCTGTGCTCAAGGATCACGTCTGCTGGTTCTAGGGTTCCAACCTGGGTTGACCGTGTGCAAGGAAAACTCCCTACCGTTGTACCGTTGCTCTGGCTCCCAGAATTCGCCGTCTTCTTTTTTTTTGGAGCGATAGCACAGCGAAAGGGTGGTTGCCTTGAATGCAGCCCACCCGGGTTTGATTCCCAGCATCCCATAGGGTCCCCTGAGCACCGTCAGGAGTAATTCCTGAGTACATGAATCAGGAGTAACCCCTGAGCATCACCGGGTGTGACCCAAACAGGGGAAAAAAAAAAAAAAGAGAAGTCAAGCACATTCCCAAGATGAGCAGGTTGCAGGGAAGTAGAAAGTCCTTTACTCATAGGGGACAGTGTACTGAACAGAGACCCCTTTCTGGAGGCTCCAGGGTGGCCCAGCAGGCGAGTCCAGGCTCCTGCCCTGTGCTCAGGCAGCCATCTTGGTTATGACTGGCCTCAGGTCCCTCATCCGTGGGCTGGTGACCACAGAGCCACCTCTTGTTACTGGCCTAGCAAATTGATAAACGAGGTAAGCTAGGTAACTGGCGCGGATTGCTAATGTGTTGGAAGTACGCTCTTTGGATATTCTTTGCTGTTAACACGTGCAATAGTTTTAGCCCCCAAGTTCCAGTTCCAGAAGTGAGATCGTTGCATCAGTGAGGATGGGAGTGGGAGGAGAGAACCCAACAAATCTCCTGCAAAAGTAGGTCCAGGAGGGACCACGGAGAGTTTGGGGGCCTGTGGCCCGCCTTGGTTTCATCCCAGCATCGCATGGGCCCCCCGAGCACAGCTGGGTGATTTCCTGGCAGTCCCCTGGGCACCACCAGAGCTGGCCCTGGAAACCCCAAGCAGCATCACACCCACGGGTCTGGCACTGAACTGCTGGCCGGTTTATTCAGAATCACCAAGAAGGGGCCCCTGGACCTCGGAATACCACCCTCCGTCCCCTCTCCGCCCCCTCCCCCCCGCCAGGAAAATAGAGCTCTGAGGGGAAAAACCATGTGCCCACGAAAAATAACTCGGTCACTGTCTCTGTGCAGTGCCCGTGCAGGCTCAGAGGGGTCGCGGGAATGCGATGTCCACACCGTAACTATTAGTAAGGCATGTAATCAGGGCACATAAGAACCAAATGCCGTGTTTAAGGTGGAAGCAGATATTTGCAGGGTGAATGGACTCCAACGGCCACAGCTCAAGGAGAGTGGGGTGGGCAGCTGTAGTCCAGGCCCCACAAAGGCCTCTCGGAAGCGCACGTGAGGCCTCAGTGGAGACACATTACACCGTCTGGAGACGAAGGTTTCTGCCCTGAGCCATCGTCACAAACATGAGCTTCTGGCCGTGCTCACCATGGCTTCTCCAAGCCTTAAGTTTACCTGTTTGTCATAAAAACATTATCAGGATCATGATCATCCTGTTGTTTGTCAATTGCCTCGAGCAGGCCCCAGTAACGTCTCCTTCATCCTAGCCCTTAGATTTAAAAAAGTGCCATATTCAAGGCTCTCTCAGGGTTAGGAGAATGAGACCCATCATTGTTACTGGTATTTGGCATATTGGGTACGCCACGGGGAGTTGCCAGACTCTGCCGTGTGGGCAGGTTACATTCGGTAGCCTGCCAGGTTGTCCACGCATGGCAGGCTACCGAATGTAACCGAATGCCGCGCGACATCTCATTATCTCATAAACACACTAATCAGCTTTAAAAAGTCATTGGAATAAAAAGCAACAGATAATAGAGAAGCTTTGACTGCGCCTACAGGTAGAAACAATGTGTGTGAGTTCCATAGGGAAAACTCCAGTGATGACACACACAAGAACGTAGTGATTAGCTAGAAACGGGGGATCATTAGGACGTGTCTGACCCTCATTTATTTCAGTTTTTAGAAATAGAAAAGTTGACTGAAAAGCAGAGGAGAGGGCTGGAGCAATAGCACAGTGTGTAGGGCGCTTGCCTTGCAGGCGGTCGACCCAGGTTCGATTCCCAGTGTCCCATATGGTCCCCCGAGCACCGCCAGGAGTAATTCCTGCGTGCAAGCCAGGAGTAACCCCTGAGCATCGCCGGGTGTGACCCCAAAAAAAAAGAAGAAAAAAAGAAAAGAAAAGCAGAGGAGAAACTCCCCTGGCGCCAAAGAACACCGGCCAGGACTGAGTTCCTCACTTTGACTTTGCAAACGTTTCTGTTGCATACGCGTTAGTTCCTCACAAAATCACAAATCACAAATCATCCTGTTATTCATCGATTGCCTCGAGCAGGCCCCAGTAACGTCTCCTTCATCCTAGCCCTGAGATTATATTCAAGGCTCTTTAGGAGAATGAGACCCATCATTGTTACTGGTATTTGGCATATTGGGTATACCACGGGGAGTTTGCCAGACTCTGCCCTGTGGGCAGGCTACATTCGGTAGCCTGCAAGTTTGTCCAAAGTAGGAATGAGATAATAAGATGTCATAATAAGATGTCGCGCGGCTGCGTGACTTTGTCCCTGTGCCAGTACCTTCATGTGTGCGGAGAGTGGTCTCAGCATAGTGGTGGCTGGTCCTGGAGGTCTTTGGCTGCCGGAGCCCTGGTCGGGGCGGGGAGGAAAGCTCAACCCGCTCCCCACTTCAAAGAACAGAAATGACAAGGGCCTGAGGGTGCACAGGCAGAGGGCTGGAGCACAGGCTCACAGGTGCGAGGACCCAGGTCACTCCTGACATTGCCTGTCTCCTCGGGGTGGCCTGGGCACTGTGGGCACAAAAGCACAAAGTGGTGCCCGACCCGCACCACTGCAGTGCCCTTGGGCCTCTAGGAAACCCTCCCCAAATTAGAAAAAGCAGAAATGGCCAGGGACACCTCACAAGGAGGGCCCTGCCTGCAGCTGACCCGGGTTCAGGCCCCAGCATTGAATATGGTCCCCCGAGCACTGCCAGGAGTGATCCCTGAGCATTGCTGGGTGTGACCCCAAAATAAATAAAGCCAGAGAGAAAAACAAAAAAAAATCAGGAAAGGTGAAGAATAGCCTCTATGTTTTTATTACTGAAAAGGAACCACAGCAGTCTTCTGTAAGGGGTCACATAAAAATACGGAAATGTCATTCCCTAAAAATAGTACCAATTTCCTATAAGGAGATTCTTCCTGTACCCTCATCTCTAAAACTACGGGGTGGGGAATAGAGAAAATACTTACAAATGGCCCAAACATTGATCATCATTCTATATGAACTAGGGTTACATGTTTAAGATTTTCCTTCAGGGGCCGGAGCAATAGAACAGCAGGTAGGGCATTTGCTTTGCACGCGACTGACCCATGTTTAATCCCTGGCATCCCATATGGTCCCCTGAGCACCGCCAGGAGTAATTCCTGAGTACAGATCCAGGAGTATTGCTGGGTGTGGCCCAAAAATCCAAAAAAAAAAAAAAAAGATCTTCCTTTATGAAACGCATAATATAATACATGGATTTTCCCTCTGGGAAGCCAGGGGGTCCAACCCTGGTCTGCCATGTGCAAGGCAAGTGCTTTACCCACCGTCCACTGTAGTATCGCTCTGGCACACTTAAAAACATTTTAACGTAATTTTGCCCCATCAAATCTGTACATTGTTTGAACCCCCCAAGCAATGGCGCAGGGAACTCAGCCGTCATGCTCAGCGAACGCACCAGCTGGTGAACTCACGCTCAGACCTGGTGACTCCGTGGTGCTGGGGGCCACAGGACTCCTGCAGCAGTGCTCAGGGGATTGGACTTGGGGCCTCGCACACGCAGACCCTGCAGTCCAGCCCTGGAGCACTCAGCCTAGCCTCTACCTTGTGATTTTTTTTTTCTGGGGGGTCGGGGAAGGCTCAGTGGGGCTCAAGGTGCTTCTGGTTCCAGGCAGTGCCTGAAGCTTTATTGAAGTGGCCCGTGTTCCTTACTGGGTGCTTGTCTGCATGATTTTGAAAGGAAGCTCTTCGTCACCTTAAGTATTCAGCCCGGTATTCTGCCTTCTTTCTCCTCCAGGAAACGAAGTGTCCGACGAGGCTTGCCTGAAGAAAGTGGGGCTCAGTGGCGTCCCAGCCGACGCCTGCTCCACGGCCCAGAAAGCCGTCGGTTACATCTGCAAAGCTAACGGCGGCCGCGGGGCGCTCCGCGAGTTTGTAGAGCACATTTTCCTGCTGATGGAAAAAGTCAATAATTCATGCCAAAAATAAAAAAAAAAAAAAAGATCAGTGTAGGGTCGGGACAGAAAGCCGACGGCTTTCTCCAGCGGCTTTATTTTTCAAGTGTGATTAAATTCAGTTCCATGTGGTACATGATGTGTGATACGTGATTTGATTTGTGATCATATCTCAACCTCTTTTAAAAGCCATCTCAAATGGTCCTTCCAAACTAATCAAACGATTGTCCCCTGCTTTCTCATTCTGCAAAATATTTAGGGAGTCGTGATAGTTTTTATTTCAGATTTTTAGGAAATCCAAGTAAGACCGTCACCAAAATTCCCTTTGTTACTGTACCCTGTAAATCTTTGTGTGTGTGTGTGTGTGTGTGTGTGTGTGTGTGTGTGTGTGTGTGCGTGTGTGCGCGCGCGCGTGCAATCAGTGATGCTCAGATTTTATTTGGGAACTGTGTCTGGTCAGACACGCCTTTCTGTTAAATAAATGACATTTCACAAACTTGATGAAACTGCCTCACTGCTCTGTCGGAAACTCCCCAGACACCCTGAGCTCCTTTAAACATGACCCCTACGATCAGCGTGAGAAGCAGGCCTCCCCGCCAGGTGTGCGGCAGCTGCTGTTGCTCCCGTGTGTGAACACGGTCCCCTCCACAAACGCAGCCACCCAGAGACATTCCTGTGTGGGGAAACCGTCCACGTGTTTGTGAGGGGGATAAGCTGCAGCTTGCAGTTACCTCAGAGACCGTGGTAATATTTTGTGTGCTAAATCTGGCCATAACAACTAGACACCACCAGCAATCATTCTCCTACGTCATTAGGTTTTCAGCGTGAGACCTGATTCATGTATGTGGAGCGTTGTGGAATATTTACATCGATGTCCGCTGCCAGAAAGAGTTTGTGTAAAGCCGTCAGGAAGCAAGCGCTTCGGGCCGAGCATAGAGGAAGCTGCTTTCTCTCAGACCTGACTGGACTGTAGCCTCTGCTTCCCCTCACACCCACAAGCAGGATGTAGGGTGGAAGATAAACTTCATTTTCTTCCTTCATCTGGGTTTCCTTTCTTTTGGGCTGGGTCTCCTATCTTTTGGGCTGGGTCATTCCTGGGTCTATTTTCTTATAACTTTGTTAAATGTCCACACACCCCGAAATCTCTAAGCCCAGCTCCTGTTCTGCCTGAATACTGCATCTCTGGTGAAGGTGACACAGGAACCGAGTCGCTGTTGTGTGTGTTGGACCCACCTCAGACCCTCCTGTAACACGTCAGGCTCCTGGCTCCTCAATTTCTCATCAGTCTCGCCTCTAGTCAGGACACCAGGTCTTGGGTTTGAGGTACGAGCCCCGTGTCCTCTCAGCTAGCCCCAGGGAGAAGTAGATTTAGCTGGTCATGTTTGCTATTCATAATCTTAGTGACTTCACGCTGGTCACAGGATGTGATAAGATCCCCCAGGTCTGGACACAACTGTCCAGCCTTAGTTCTCACTCATTCTCACGGGTCCATCCAAACACGGTCAAGCTACTTGTTTTTCTCTCCAACTATGCCTCTCATGGCTCAGTTTAGAACTGCCTTTTGTCACCATGGAATCTCTTGTCTGTTTTGCCCGAGCAAGCTCTGCTGATGAATCCTGAACATTCCAACTTCTTGCTTGCTTTCAGCAACTCAACCCTGAGTTCCAGGACCTGCTCGGACCTCATTGTGAAGGATTCCTGTGTCCACCATAGCAGGAATCTCAGATTCTCTGACAGAACTGAGAAGTCGCCAACCCGTCCCTCACACAACAGGAAAAACTGGACACTAAAAAGCCAACAGACCTGTCAGGGAATTGAAGCCAAAGGAAAAAACAATCACAGCCAGAGAGTGAGCAGCACTAACCTGAGGGCCAGCTCACATGGAGCATGAGAAAGTTCTGTGGTCACGGCCACACACTGGGCTGAGTGAGGGACTCCCCCTCCAGGCTTGTTCTCACAGGGCCCACGGCCCTGCCTCTACCTCTTTTCCAGACTATCCTTTCTGTGGACTAAGGTGCTTCTTTTTTTTTTGGGGGGGGGGGGTGGTCACACCCGGCGATGCACAGGAGTTACTCCTGGCTTTGCACTCAGAAATCACTCCTGATACAGCCGAAGAGAAGGGCCACATGGAGCGCTGGCTCCACAGCCCCCGGAGAAAAAACCAGGTTCCAAAAAGAGCCGAGATCATCGGGAAGTCCCAGATGGGGTAGGTGCCGCATCCCGCCTCCCCCAGATGGAACCCCGGTGACCAGAAGCCTCTACAAGCACAGCTCGAGTATGCAGGAACTAGGACTTTTCCTCCAAACCGCGCGGCCGCTTAAGCGGCCGCGCAACATCTCTCTATGTACAAAGTGATCAATGGGAAGTAAATCACCCAATGTTTCTCCCTGAAAATCAGAGTTAAGTTTGGAGCACGGCCACAGCCCCAGAAGCACAAGGACTTAATGCAGAACCCAGGAGCTTGGAGCAGAAAAGTGAACGGACTATGCGTTAATCCAGGCCATCATGTCTGCCCGGAGGGGAAAGGGTGTTGCCCCATTCGCCCTCTCTTCTCTGGAAAGAAGGATGGCGGCCGCATGGGAGCCTTGTGGACAGCAGGTATGAGCCGGGGGTGTGGGGGCGACTAAATCCTCATGGGAAGGGGGCGTTCCGGTCCGTCCTTCATGCCCTACCGAGGCCACCAGTTGCCCCCCACGAGCGGCTCTCCAGCACGGCCACAGCCCCAGAAGCACAAGGACTTAATGCAGAACCCAGCAGCTTGGAGCAGAAAAGTGAACGGACTATGCGTTAATCCAGGCCATCTTGTCTGCCTGGAGGGGAAAGGGTGTTGCCCCATTCGCCCTCTCTTCTTTGGAAAGAAAGATGGCGGCCGCATGGGAGCCTTGTGGACAGCAGGTATGAGCCGGGGGTGTGGGGGCGACTAAAACCTCATGGGAAGGGGGCGTTCCAGTCCGTCCTTCATGCCCTACCGAGGCCACCAGTTGCCCCCCACGAGCGGCTCTCCAGCACGGCCACAGCCCCAGAAGCACAAGGACTTAATGCAGAACCCAGCAGCTTGGAGCAGAAAAGTGAACGGACTATGCGTTAATCCAGGCCATCTTGTCTGCCTGGAGGGGAAAGGGTGTTGCCCCATTCGCCCTCTCTTCTTTGGAAAGAAAGATGGCGGCCGCATGGGAGCCTTGTGGACAACAGGTATGAGCCGGGGGTGTGGGGGCGACTAAAACCTCATGGGAAGGGGGCGTTCCAGTCCGTCCTTCATGCCCTACCGAGGCCACCAGTTGTCCCCCACGAGTGGCTCTCCAGCACGGCCACAGCCCCAGAAGCACAAGGACTTAATGCAGAACCCAGCAGCTTGGAGCAGAAAAGTGAACGGACTATGCGCTAATCCAGGCCATCATGTCTGCCCGGAGGGGAAAGGGTGTTGCCCCAGTCGCCTTCTCTTCTCTGGAAAGAAGGATGGCGGCCGCATGGGAGCCTTGTGGACAACAGGTATGAGCCGGGGGTGTGGGGGCGACTAAAACCTCATGGGAAGGGGGGCGTTTCGGTCCGCCCTTCACGCCCTACCGAGGCCACCAGTTGCCCCCCACGAGCGGCTCTCCGGCACGGCCACGACTCCAGAGCACAGAAACCAATTTCTTAACTATCTGACTTTCAGTAGAAATACTTCCAGGGTCAATAGGTAAAATAGCAGAAATCCAAAACCAACATTTAATTCTTGAACCCAGCTGTAGAAAGCAAATCACTTCACAATGCTTTTTCAGCATGTCTGATTTGGGGGGGGGGGGGGGGTAAACTCTAAATAATAGTGGTGAATCTTTTATTGAAACAATGAATCTAATCAAAGCAGATAGAGTGTTAACTAGAATTCATCTGCCTCACAGGGACTGGGAGGGGTGGGGGTGGGGTTTTATTGGGGTTCTTCATGGTTAAAAAGTAAGTATTGGTAAAGGGAAATGTGTTTGATATTTGCATGACTGAGACCTAAACCTGAAAGCTTTGTAACTTTTCCCACAGTGATTCAATAAATAAATTTAAAAAAAAAACTTAATAAAAAAAAAAGAAAAGAAATCACTCCTGGCGGTCCTCAGGGGACCATATGGGATGCTGGGACTCGAACCTGTGTCGGCTGCGTGCAAGGCAAACGCCCCACCTGCTGTGCTATCTCTCCAGCCCCTAAGGTGCTTCTTAGGGTTGGAGAGCAGCCTGGTGTGGTACAGTTGGACTCCCAGCTGGTGAGCTTTCAGTACCCTCTGCAGGGAGAGAGGGAGAGAGGAGAGCACAGAAATGAGAAAAAAAAATAGATGCTTGAGAGTTTGTGGGGTTTTTTTGGGGGGGTCACACCCAGTGATGTCTAGGAGTTACTCCTGGCTTTGCACTCAGGAATCATTCCTGGAGGTGCTCAGGGGACCATATGGGATGCTGGAAATTGAACCCTGGTCGGCTGCATACAAGGCAAACACCCTACCCGCTGTACTATTGCTCCAGCCCGGGTTTGTGGGTATTTCCCCCCCTTGTAATTATGCTGTTACTTCACCCAAGTCAACCTCTCTGTGGTCCGGGTCCCTTATTCAAATGAAGATCCTTACTCTAGCGAAGTTGAAATCATAGGATTATGGTGTAGGTCAGAAATCTAATCAGCATATTGAGACCAGCTTCATGCATGCTGGTCCAGATGACGTTTGAGTTGGCATTTAAGGCATCTGGACACCGTCATTAGCTAGCAGCTGTGCAACCTTTTCAAACCATTTATCAAATCCCACACTGGTGTGCCCATGAGGGCAGGGGCTTAGCAGAGACCACCTGAGACCACCTCTTGCGCCTGTCTTATGCCACAGCTGCAGGTGTTTAAGTGAATGAAGATGCAGACTGCTTTGAGGCTGCTGGGCGAGGGGTCCGGCTGCCTGCATCTTCTGCGGTTCCCCGATTAGTGAATAGTCCTTACCACACGCCGAGCCGCCATGGGGGGCCGACTGCTCCCCCAAATCTAAACGTGCTGGTTGGGAACGTCCCCTTCGAATGCCTGGTGCTCTGGTCGGCCTGAGTTGATGGGGATTTTAATTCTTGGGGTGCTGAGTGAGGAAAGTACTTTAAAAACAAACGTGCGTAGTGTTTCCTGTTTGTGCACTAGGTGGCATCACTGATCTAGTTTTAGAAAGATGGTCTCAGCCGGCAGAGGGGCGCTAGTGACATGAAGGACACTCGTGATCCCGCCTCCCTGCATGAAACAGCCTTCCCTGGTCAGAGGACCAGCGTCAGTGAGACGAACACCCAGCCCCGTCTGCCGGTACCTGGGCCGACTGGAACAATGGTCTGCGGTGATTGCCTTTAATCCTCACAGTCTCCAAAGAGATTTCTATGTACCCAGAGTGATGGGACAGCAGGGAGGGCATTTACCTTGCACATGGCAGACCTGGGTTTTGTCCCTGGCACCATGGAGTGATGTTACAGCCGGAGGGCCTTTACCTTGCCACATGGTCGGCCTGAGTTCTATTGCTGGCACCATGGA